GTCTCTGTCATTGCGCCTATCAGCCATTGTATGTCTGTCAGTGGAAGTTTTGACTCCCCACACACTCACTATATTTAGCTTCTTATAGATTTCTAATTTACTAAAAATCAGCATCATGCATTGAGTGCAACATGACGTCCTTGTTGATGGTTTTTATTTTTTTATTTTAACAAGAACACATGACACTAATTTAGGAGACAGAACATTTTAATCCCCCATAACTCAACAATTGAAACATTAAGACACTTCTGCATTGTAGCTATTTATTCCTCAGAGTTTGATGTACTCTACAAGTCACATGGTGTTCACAGGCAATGAAAGGGTTTCTTTTTTTCCCTCAGAATCCTCAAGGCTCACCACCAAAGGGCGTCAAGAGTCACGCTGTTCCCAATAAATCATTGGTTGATTGGTTAGCGTCTCTGCCTCCAGGCCAACCTGATGGAGCAATTAAGCTCTTTTGCATTGCTAGGCAACATCTCTGCACTGTTTCATCTGACATTGTTTTGTTCTGGCGTGTTTGGCTACACATTAACCCACGGGTCCACATGTAGAGCCTTTAGTAACATGTTTCCATAGGAGGGGACAGTCTCAGGCTATGGAGGTTTTATATAATGTAAATGCTGCAAACAGGGCAAATATCTAACAAAGCTATATAAAATGTAGGTACTGAGTCTCTACATAAATATTTCTAAGCTAATTAATCATTTTCAAGTTTGGATGAGTTATTATAGATAACTTCGATATATTTGTACTCACCGATGCAGTTGTATGTTCATTTAAAATATTTGAATGACGATTGTTTTGTACTGTCTATAAACAAACTGCTGTTTTTTATGTCAAGGCACCGAAAATAAACTAAACATGGTATTCTTAAGGTTATTAAACACCACAAATACTAAAAAGTATTCGGTATTAATTTCTTACAATCTTGACGGGCGTATTTTAAGCATATTTTAGGTTAAATGTTTGTGTGTGGCTTTTATCCTGCAGCGCTGCGAGACCCCATGGCGATGGAGCGAACCAACCTGCTAAACATGGCCAAGCTGAGCATTAAAGGGCTGATCGAGTCAGCTCTGAGCTTTGGACGGACTCTGGACTCAGACTACCCGCCTCTCCAGCAGTTCTTCGTTGTCATGGAGCACTGCCTCAAACATGGCCTTAGAGGTAAAAGTGGCGTCTCAACTTATTAAAATTGCTGCACAGTTGTGTTTGTGTTTCTCTCACTCATAAAGTATAGAGATTCCTGTAATTTTCATATGCCAGTTTTGTCTCTTTCTCTCTGCAGTGAAGAAGTCCTTTCTGGGCTTTAACAAGTCTCTGTGGGGTCCTCTGGAGCTGGTGGAGAAACTTTGTCCTGAAGCAGCAGAGATCTCCGCCTCTGTACGCGACCTGCCTGGACTTAAGTAAGGAGGACAATGATGTGTACACACACACACACACACACACACACACACACACACACACACACACACACACACACACACACACACACACACACACACACACACACACACACACACACACACACACACACACACACAGAACAATTTGACACATGTCCCGCTCTTTTGTGCCCATCCCCCCACATGGATCACACCTGGCACACCAATACATGTTCAGTGTCTATT